TCCTCCTCCTCCTCCTCCTCCTCCTCCTCCTCCTCCAGGAAGAATATTTGACCACACTCCCTATTTTTCCTCTGCAGGTCGAGAAGATGCTGTGTTGAGCTACGAAACCGTTGTGCAGATGGAAGGTGAAAACCCCCCATTTCTGGCTTTTTTGCTCGTTCCCCCGCTGGTGCTGTGGTTCACAACATCGGTGTCCCATCTTCCAGGGCAAATGCAGTGGACAGAAAAGCTGTGTGAACCCCCCTCCCCCCAAATGGAGTAAAAAAAGGAAAAACATAGGTCATTCAGGAAAGACGTAGAAATGGTTATCAGATGTAGATATGGGAACGAAGAACCCATCGTTGGTCAAGGCAGTTGAAAGGCTTCTCTGAATCGGCTGGGAGTGATGGAAGGTGTAGTCCAACATCTTCTGAAAGGCAGCAGATTGGCGCCGGGGGGTTGGTTTCTTGGCCAAACTCTCTGTCAAACCCCCCTCCACACACACACACCATGCCCCCCCCCCCGAATTTGCCTTTTTCTTTCAGTTCTTTCTGCCTCCATCACCCTCAACCCGAGGGGGCAAATCGATTTGATTTCTCCTTTGATATCACATCAAAGTTGAACAGTTCCAAAGCTGGAGAAAAAGCCATGAAGCCAATTTGGAACACCTGGGGAAGTGTCCTGGATTTCTCCCACCTGCATGCTTGAGCAGGGGGTTGGACTAGATCAGGAGTCCCCAACCTGTGGGCTGCTACCCGGTAGTGGGCCGTAGCCTGTTGGCCACTGGGCCGTGGGACAGGCTGGCCAGTGCGTGCGTGTGTGTGTGCACGCACACACCCCTCACTTGTGCTAGCGCCATGGTTGCGGGGCACAAAAACAGGACGCCGTGCCACGAGGCACGAAAACGGCCACCGCCACACCCCAGGGGATGAAAATGGGACACCACCATGCCACAGGGTGTGAAAACGAGGTGCTGCTGCGCTGCGGGGTGCAAAAATGGGTCACTGCCGCACAAGGCACAAAAACGGATGCCATCGTGCAGAAACAAGACGCTGAGCCACGCAAGAATGGGGTAGGGTTAGTGTCACGCAGGTGCTAGCCCCGAACCCTTTGCAGCATGTAGGTGCTTGCGGCCACGTGCGCATGCACATGTGTAAAATGCTTCCCTCCCTCCCTTTTCCTCCGGTCCGCCAACCGACAAAGGTTGGTGACCTTTGGACTAGATGACCTCCAAGGTCCTTCCAATTTTGTTGTTCTAGTATTCTGCTAATTAATTCCCTTCCAATGCAGACACTTGCCTCTATAGGCCTTTTGCACCCCCGGGCTTATCTGCGGACGACAGCTGCCATCTTGAATTTTGGGACACACACACACACACACAATCACACACACAATCACACACACCACACACCTCCAGCATAGTCCCTTGTTTCCCGAGTCCTACTGTGCCCACTTTTAAATACAGGTACTCCTCAATGTACAATCGCAATTCAACCCCAAATTTATATTGCTAACCGAGATACTTGTTAACTGAGTTTTGCCCCATTTTACAACCTTTCTTGGCGCGGTTATTAAGTGAATCACTTTAGTCGTTAAGTGAGTAACAGGGTTGTAAAGTGAATCCAGCTTCCCCATGGATTGTGCTTGTCAGAAAGTCGCAAAAAGTGGCCCCAGGATGCTGCGATTGTCATAAATATGAGTCAGTTGCCAAGCATCCAAATTTTCATGATGCTGCAACCGTCGTAAGTGTAAAAAAATGGTCATAAGTCCCTTTTTTCAGTGCCATTGTAACTTTAAATGGTCACTAAAGGAGTTATAAATCGAGGAATACTTGGACGACAATGATTCCGGGGAGTGGGGGAGACAGTGGTCTCCCCTTTTGTGAGAATCTTAACTCAGACACAATTGCAGTCGTACCCTACCCACATTTGCACGCACTGTTGGGGCTATCCGCAAATGATCTCAGTGGCTCGAAATTTCGAGGTCCCTGCTTGGGTTTTGGATTCCCCCCCTTCTAATCATGATGACCCTTCCTCTTTTTAACTTGTCTGCCTTTTGTTCCAGTTCATTATGCCCGTCCGATCATTATTTTGGGGCCCACCAAGGACCGTGTCAACGACGACCTCCTCTCTGAGTTTCCAGACAAATTCGGGTCTTGCGTGCCACGTGAGTCCACCGCAGAGCGGTCCTCCCCTGTGGGGGGGGGATCTGGGGTTTTGGATCTCTTAACTGGATCTGGGGAAATGGATTTGGAGGGAGGGGACACAGGGTGTGCTCCTACGGAGAGGGTTCCTCCACCCTACGCTGGAAGGGAGCGACGCAAATCCTCCCTTGCAGACACCACGCGGCCGAAACGGGAGTACGAAGTGGACGGCCGAGATTACCACTTTGTGGCTTCGCGGGAGAAGATGGAGAAGGACATTCAAGGCCACAAATTCATCGAGGCCGGACAGTACAATAGCCACCTTTATGGGACAAGCGTCCAGTCCGTACGGGAAGTGGCTGAGCAGGTACGTGGCAGGACACAGAGACGGGCGAGCAGAGTCGTCCGCAGGAGGAGCATAAAAGTAGAACGGGGTTTTTATCCACGTGGGCTGTGGCTTGCCATATTGTGACCCCCCCACCCCACCTTTGAGACACCCCCGCAAGGAAGAGAGATGGCTGGGGCTGGTTCACACAGCTTCTTAGCCAAGTCAGCAGCAGCCAAGTACCACAAATGAGGATCACGTGACCCCAGGACAGTATA